GCGCGTGGTGCCTGTAGCAGGTTTAGTTTTGGCGCCAAAGCTTCGTTCAAAAATGGAACGCCAGTATTCAAATTAACCAACGACCGATTCTAGAACAAGCTTTGACATTTACATAATTGACAGCTATTTTTTTTAGTTATTTTTGTATCAGATATTTTTATTTTATTTTCGCATAAACAAAAGATACGATTCGTTTCATTCAAGGTTGGATTTTGAATAGGTATCTACTATTACACCACATGTCTAAAGCAAAGTTTTGCTGGTTCGGTACAGCAAACGAGAATCAAAGCTTAGCAATAATGTCGGCACCTTTCAAGCCTATGTAATAAATAGTTAAGCCCATACGTCACAATGGTGCATAAATAAAGACTTGCCGACCGGCGTGGGTCGTAAGCACCACAATAAGCCATTTTCTTCACTTTGTACACTTACAGTAGCACCATATAATATTTTATTTTGTTAGTTCCCTACTTATCAACTGGCTACATAAGTGCGTAACTACGAAGCTTAACATTTAAAATATGTTTGTCAACTAGGTACTTCGATTTCGAAAACCTCGGAAATCTCATGAAAAATCATGAGTGTATTAATTTGAAATTTTCTAGTTCATTAAACATAAATTTCAAGTAAGATGTATGGAATAAAACAATTAAACTTTCGATCGTTATCAGATCGTAGATAATAAATATAAATTACAATTATTTCTTCTATTAATGCTCATGACCTTTATTCCCTTCCGGAAACAAAAAAAAAATAGTCGTGTCATTTGTTATTACAAAAACACATTAATATTAATTTTATACGCGTATGAGCCATGATACAATACAAGTGATGACCACTAACTATCACGTGGCGTTTAATAAAAACCATGCAGGTAAGTGATAGTAACGTTCGTAGTCAGTTAATAAATATTTAGTTGCGACAGCAATGCATTAAAGATTTAATCAGACACGGATATGACGAAACGTCTTAATTCAACTACAGAAGGGGTAAGTAAAAAAAAACTTTCATTTTTTATTTCTCCGCCAACAGTTTCACTGGGAACTCTATGCGATATACAATTTGCATAGATTGAGCATTGTTATAGCTATTTAATACCTTTTATAAACGACAAGCACGTTTATTAAAGTGATATCGTTCACCTTAATCTCACAATTGTAGGTTTATAAAACAAAATAATGTGTGCAGGTACCACCAACTTTCATTACACAATAAGAAACCAGACTGCGCGCGTACATTTCAAACAACCAGCGTTAACAAACAGCTTGTTTGAATAAAATATTTAAGTAATTAGCTGAGCGTTTATTTTTGGTCCCACTATACATAGAATACAGCAATAAAAAGCCTTCATAGTTGGACGCGTACGGGTCAATAACTAGACAAAGGTTCGAGTAAGATTGTAGACGCTTCTCCGATCGACCTCAAATACTTTACGGTGAGTTTATTAATTAAGGCGGCCGACCTTGCAGGCCGCACATCCAAGGAGGTCGGTGGAGCGCGCGACAGAGACGCCGCTATGCCGCGCACGACACGCTCGTTCCCGCGCGCGCGCGACGCAACATCAAATCAACTGCCGAAGCGCGCCATTTCAATCGTCTGACGTATCCCTCATTGACCTTCCGTTATCTGCACTAGGATTGTCTTCGGCTTATCAGCCGCTGCTTGTTGCCTTTCAACTGAAACACCGACCATTCACATCGAATAACAAAGCATATAAGGCATATAACTCATTGTAACGATTTCGATAATTACGGGTAAATAAAACTGAATTCAAACCGCGAATAAAAACCAATCAACGGCAAGCTTTAAAAGCCGCTCGGTCGCCAAGCAATTATGAATGCTAAGAGGCGAATCTACAGTAAGCCGGTATACATGACGTATAATACAAACACAAACAGAGTCTCGCACCGAGTAGCCGAGAACAATCACAAGAGAGCGCGAGCCAGGAGATCACTCGAAACCGCACCTTAAGCTCATTGTCAAACCGATTACAATAAACAAACAGGACAGACGCGGTTGGAATCTTGTCAAACAGGCGAGTTCGAGCGTTGACTTATTGCCGGTAGGGCATTTCTGTGTCTGTCGTGCTCGACAGAATAAAACTCTATGCAGATAAGAATATGGTTGAAATTAATTTTGATTTTTATCATACAGGTAAAACACGGGCACGGTCGCTTACGGCCCACTCACACAGACGCAGCGCCACGCTGCCATAAATAAAAGATTCCTACAGAAACAATTGTTGCGTAGAGGTGATCCGAGGCCTCGGTGAATGTAGTCGACTAATCGCCTCGAGTCGATCGCGAAAGTAGGTGACCGCCCGTGATTGACGCTCTTGCGAAACCCCGTTCGATGACATTTAGACTGGACGGACAATGCTCTAAGCCCTCGCTAATTATGAAACGTAATTATTTGTGCAGCAGGTACGAAGTGTGATGTAATATTATAATCAAGTGCAATCGTCACGACTTTTATAGTAGCGTTTGTTTGGGCACATCTTTAGTGTAAGCAAATTGATGTTGACGAATTATCGCCAACTAGACAACTCTGAATAAGCTAATTTCGTAATACCTATGATTGAATAATATTGGCACACAATAAAGAGGCCTTTAATGGTACCATAAAATAGAACGAGCAAAATAAACAATATAGTGTAACTATGCAATTAAAGCCAAATATTACATCAACATATATTGTTTTATCGTTAATCCAGACTCCACGGAATCTCTGTTCTAAGATAACACCGCTCTACTTAACCTCGGCACACAGAGACGCGTAAACGTGAAACAATACGGTACAGTAACACAACCTTATTCATGTACCTGTTAAATTAGAAGCAAGCCAAAATGAACTTTACTACCGCGGAATAAAGTCCAGTGGATGTTAAGTAAGTCAATCAAGGGAGGTGTATTAACGCTACGTGCACTCACACAGACGTAGAGGACATCTGCGTAGGTACGCGGCCGGGTGACGTTAGTGTGTGGGAATGCCAGCGAAATTTATACACACTCTTCATCGCGCTCCATTGTAATTTACAGTTTTGTAGCGTTTTTAAAAGCAAACACTTCTGTATGAGATTATCATTTATCATTAATTAATTTTATCTTTTGTAAACATTACCGCCTCTACAGATAGTGAGGAAGACGTCTGCGGTATTGTCTATAGACACAGTGCGATCTCGCATAGATTCGGTCAGTTGGACGTAGACACTCAGTTATAAATAAGTGACAAACAACGCACCAGCAAAACACATTAATATAACACTAATAATTATTTATAATTCTGGCAAATTATTCGTCTGTATATGATTTTAACATCAATATTCCGTTTGAGCGTAAGCCAAATCATTCAAGTATTTAATGTATGTAAATATACACACCAGTTACCACTACACTCACCCTGCAAGAAACTATTATGAACAAACAGACAAACGTGTGAATTAACACGTATAACATCAGCCAATGGCTGAACCAATATGGCGCTGTCAACATTCCAACGGTCACTTTTTCAAATTAATTAAATTGTGTCGATAGAGTAAATCGTAAAACTAAGAAAGTATCGAGTGAAAACTGAGACTTGTTCATAAATTCATATCAAATTGAAAGTTTAAGCAAATGAAGACAAGTCTGTGAGTGCTTTCTAGAAATTATAATGTACATTGCATTCGTAGAGAGATCATTCGGTGGTGTATCTGTACTCGCGTTGACCGGACCGGCCAGCTATTTGTACTTAGTAGACCGAGCCCGCCCACCTACACAACATTCCCACACTGTTTCACTTACCTTTGGATACGGCATTCGACATTCACGGTCAACTTGAAAGCTTTTTCAATGTTACCTGTAAATCGATATTGCTTTGGCTGCAGAAATTAATACAAGTTCATTATTAAGCAAATAATATCATCTTATTTTTACGTCATAAAACATGACGACTATGATAAAGCTGAAAACATTATTTCAGAATTGAAATTAAAAAAAAAATGCTATCATCAATAAACCAGTTACAGAACAAAAAATAAAAATAAACAAGAAATAAAAATAGAAAAACCATAGTTGTCGAGAAATATTTATTTTAGTGGCTCCGTGGCATTTCACTTGATGCAATACTGAGCGGGATGTTAATAGTAACATCAAATGGGCACCATTTTTATTACAGAATACCAACACCCACATACACGAGTTTGTGATATACTTGAATTAATTACTAATCATGTCCATAACACCCACGTGACCATTAAATCGTAAGTACACAAACTGGAGATAAATTGTAAGCCACTACGGTCAAAAGTTGCATCACTTTCTTCCATATCTAAATTACATTTTATCAGAAAAAGAGTGAATTTATTAGCTTTTTTCTTTATTGGAGAATAGTTAACAAAATAAAACTTTAGTTAGTGTTAAGTATAAAATGTTTATTTTAGTTAGTGACGTATACTCTCGTCTACCTAGTCTTAAACCAAGATAAAAGAAAATATAAGAAAAAAATCTAACAAAATTATTACATTTTCAATCTTGTTACAAAGTAATACAAAGTAATACAAAGTAAGAGTTCAAAACACTTGCAAGTTGTTATAAAAACAGTGCATTAACACTTAGATATCACAATTCCACATGGTCGTTAAGGCGATAGCAAAACAATTAACGAAATAACAAGTTTCCAGACAAAACAGGCACATTACGAACGTAATTGATCAGTTGTTGTTACTGACTCCGAAGATTCTATCAATTTTATTTTCTAGTAAATGAACTAATACGTATTATAGGCCTTAATCAAGCAATGGGGGCTACCGCATTATTGGTCACCAAATATTTTTTTTTATCGAGAGGCATGCGAGCAGACGGATTACCTGATGGTAAGCGATCAGCGGCGCCCATGGACACCCGCAACACCAGAGGAGTCACAGGTGCGTTGCCGGCCTTTTAAAAAGGAATACGCTCTTTGCTTGAAGGTTTGAAGGTCGTAACGGTTCTGATATACCGCCGACGACAGATCATTCCACAGTTTTGCTGTGCGATGCAGAAAGCATCGTGAGAAGCGCACAGTTGTGGCCTGCCAACCATCTATATGGTAGTAAATAGCGAAAGAAAAGATTTTTGTCCAATCACTGCAGCTGTAAATATTTAACGTCCAATAGTGTGACACTAACTTATTGCCTATTGGACGATAAACAAGAGGTGCGCACTAGCACCATCTTGTGACCAAAAAGTCAGTAACCGCCACTATTGTATATTTTTGGTTATGTTAGGAGATTGTGTGACCTGATACATAAGTGTAATGAAAACTAAAGATTTCTTTATTTTTAGTTGATATGACAATAAACTGTTACATTTATGAGAACTTATAAACTAGTGTTACAAATGAAAATGTAATGCAGTTATAATAATACAGTATAATGCAACCGACAATGCTGTACACAGGTAAAAAAATAGTTTTATGCAAGGCTTGTAATTAGCCTATTATATTTATATATAAATGAAAATAAATAGACAGCTATTTATACAGTCAATATAAAAAAATAAGTAGATATAGTCCAACTGTTCGACGATGTAACTCGTTTTTAATATTTGAGATGTTTTTGCCGCTTTGAAACCATCCGTTGTCGTGTTATTCCACTCATAACTATAGGGCCCCGGTGTGGCTTGAAACTAACCGAGTTACCTCGTCGAACAGTTACACGAGTGCAAAATAATTATTTACACCTAATAATTAAGACGATTAATCATCAAATTATTATCATTACTCTTACATAACAATCATGTTTACTCGACGCGACTTACTTACGACTATTTCAATATAAGCTGTAAATTACGAAAATATTCATCCTTGCAATAAATCACTTACAATTGAATCGATTTCTTTGATCAATAATCTTCGTTCTTTAGGTTGTTGTATATTGCATACAGCTTCTCCTAGATCATCCATGTAAGTTTTTAATGTAAATGGTTTTTTGTTAATGAAACTGTGTTTCACTATAAAATTAGCTAGATCATTACGTCCGCATCGTCTAGTCGGTCTATATCGACAATAATTTTCAGTAGAAATTCCTGGTTCTTCTACAACGCTTCCTTCAGATGAAACGGAAGACGTGTCGTCGTTACTACAATCACTTTTTTTCTTATCTATGTCATATCCAAGTAATTTAGAGAGAGTTTTCTTAGTATTTGTATGTGTTTTTATCTCGGAGATTTGCTGTTTAGATGCTTCCAGAATGAATGGATCGAGGAAATCAAGACTTCCATCGACATATTTTGCCACCTTGTAATTCTTGCGGACTTCGGACTGGGACAAGTTTCCTTCTAAGATCATTAACTTCAATCTTTTATAAATCATGCTTATACTATACCACATTCTGCGACACTTATACACTGAAAAAATAATCGCGATTTTACCTTCATATAAAGATTTTAAATAAATTACAATACATTGTGTTCTTGTGATTAAACAAGTAGGTAGGTGTATACCTAATAGTCGATGATTTTTAGTAATAATAGAATTGATTAAACGTATTATCTACAATTTTGGGACAAGATTAATCAAAATAAGTAAGCCCATGAGAAAATGGCGGATGCAAAAAAAGTGTCACGTGACTATGAAAGACTGTGACTATGCACTTGCACTGATACGCAGACCAGAAATTATAAAAGACGGTAAATAAAACACTTATTTAAAAATTTAAACAAATCAATTGAAGCAATTTGCACACACAATAAAGCAAACCTAATAATAATAAACAAACAAAACAAGTAAAATATAATACTACAAGTTTATAATAAATGTATGTTCTTACCACTCACTTGCGCATCTTTGGATAACTTGTTCCAAGCTACTTCCGCTGAAGCAAGACCAATTGCCGATCTATCTAGCATCTTCACATAGATGTTATATTCTTTTACTAGATGGATTAATTTACTTTGTGATTTCGTCCAATTGTAACGGTATCTATCTCTCATTGTATTTTGATAATTTTTAATACGTGTTACGTTCGTGGCGGCTGGCGGCGTGCGCGAGACTGAGTCGAGGTGGGCGGGGAGCTGTGCGGTACTATTCTCCCCGCTCCCCACTCGTTCCTGCACGAGGCGACGGGCGTAAGTACAGCGGCGTGGAGCGGCGGCGTGAGCGACGCGAGGCGACACGGGTTGCGAGCATATACGTAAGTAAGTACTTACATAACTACGTTTCGTGTGACAAGGAGTAAGAGATGTACATACAAACCAATAGTATCAGCAGTCGAACCGTAAACAACATTTTTTTTCAAGTACAATTATTGCAAAGTTGAAATTAAACATGTAAATATATATATATATATTTTTTTTTTATTCTTTTTTTTAGGAACTTTTGAACACAGTTCACGCCAGTTCCATCATAACTTAAACCTATCTAACAAATGCCAAAAAACTAAGGACTAAAACTATTAATACAAATAAAAACTTATCTGTAATACTAAACCCTAAAATTAGTAGGACAAACAAAAATATTCTTTATAATGTTAATATTGCATTCAATATTTTTTTTAATTAGTACAAGTCCGCCACAACCTCCCAAAATCGCTGCAACTCCTGTAAGCCAGGATCTACTACTGTAGATGTATCTACTGATACAACTATGAAAACACTGGAACACTGAAGTCCGGGCGTCCCAGGGACATGAATAACTGTCTTGGTTCCCGCAACGAAATGAACTAGAAGATATTATAACGATAGTTTCCACTACATTGCATTCAATATACATGATCTAAGTCAACCAAAACGTTACATTTAAAAGTCAAAATGACTATCAATACTCCACTCCCTCTCGCTCCCACTTTTTCCTCCCGCCTCACCCAAGCGAGAGAAGCAATTCGATGATTTTCCCCCTTAAAAAAGTGACTATCAACACTACATAAAAAAAACAACTTCAACTTCCTCTTTTTTTGAAATCGATTAATTAATATACTAACTTCTAGTCTAGGGCCTTCTTCTACATACCTACTACTAATTTGTTACACAACAAACACTTTACTAAAAGCCGCATCAAAATCGGTTTAGCCAATAGCGAGATAATCGCGCAATAATATACATACCTACTTACTTATAGGTCAAACACAGAACCTACTTAATTGAAGTCGGTTAAAAAAAAATAAAAAGAAGTGAAGATATTTATCACATATAATGAGGATGTATTTACACACATAAGTACTGACTTATTGAAAAGTGGGTGCTGATCTTTGGCTATTCCTTCAGGATTGAAAAAGGCGTATAATGTGTTTCATAGGCAAAGCTGTGCCTGTACAAATAATCCCTTTATAGAAAAATGATTTTTTTATGGCATAAACCGGTAAACGATTGGTAAGCAATCGGCATCGCTCTTGGATGCCTGGAACACCAGAGGCGTTACAAGAGCGTTACCGGCCTTTTGGGCATTGGTAATTTGAGGATTGTTGGGGATTCAGAGATTGGGGAGATTGGGGACCCGAGTGTGATTCCGGAAACTTACTCACACGACGGAACACAATGCAAGCGTTGTTTAACGTCGGTTTTCTGTGAGGCCGCGGTATCACTCCGGTCGAACCGGCCCATTCGTGCTGAAGCATGGCTCTCCCACAATTAGATAACTAAGAAAAAGTCATACTCACACCACTTTTAGGTAATCCTGACTCATTGTAGTTACTGACACTTTTGTGGTAGAAAATGTCTACTAAAGGCTACATTTACTAGAGAGGTATCGAGTAGTGTGCATGTGTGTATATTCCACACATATTAGGTGTTTCCGAGGCGTCGGGCAACGCCCCACACAATAAATTAGCTCGCATAGGCAGAGGCTGTTACTTAGGTAATACATACAGTTTAGAATTAACGATAGTTTTAGACCTAAATTGCTAGAATTTGAGTTCTGTTTCATTTTATTTTAACGTTACCTAATTTATAGGTAAGACTTTAATACTGTTCATTTTAGAAAAGAATGCTGAATTGGATAGATGGATGGAATTAACTTTCTTCTTATTTACTTAGACAATATTGTAAAAATGATTAAACCTATAGATTTTTTTAAGGGGGGAATATCATCGAATGGATTCTCCCGTCTGGGTGAGGCGAAAGGGAGTGTCAGACTCTTACTGACTAAAAACCACCCCGTTCCTTCTCCTGCACTTCGAGCCGGAGCCCCGGTAACCCGTATAGGTTCTCCGCGCGTTAGGTACTCACGCGCGAGTAATTTGATCGTGTTTTGGCAATTAATGCTGCCATGTAAGCATGACTTGGAATTCTTCTATTGGCGCAGATTTGTAACAATCATCATGTTTACGTTAAATCGTTTTAAGTACGCTTGCACTTGGTTCAGAGTATTTTTGCACGGGTGCAATATGCATGTATTATACATATTAACCTTCGTTAAGAATCACTCTATCTATTAAAAGAAACCGCACCAAAATCCGTTGCGTAGTTTTAAAGATCTAAGCATACATAGGGACAGACAGACGGCGGATAGCGACTTTGTTTTATATTATGTAGTGATAAATCAATGGTGATTATAGCAGACCCAAAAGGGTTTTACTTATATAATAATCTAGATGAGGCCCATAGTGTCCAAAGTCTAGCAATGCACTGTTATGATTTCAGTATCAGAGATTCTTAATTCACTAACAGAATTTCTTCGAGCTAATAGTAGTTTCTTAAGCCCTAAATCAAACTACAGTTTGGGTGTACAGCTTAAACTGAAGGTTTTTTAATGGCAGGATACCATTCAATGACGCCCCTGCCTGGATGAGGCGAGAGGGAGTGCCAAACTCTTCAATACATAGTATAAAACAAAGTCGCTTTCGCTGTATGTCCGTATGTATGCTTAGATCTTTAAAACTACGCAACGGATTTTGATGCGGTTTTTTTTAATAGATAGAGTGATTCTTAAGGAAGGTTAGTATGTATAATACATGCATATTGCACCCGTGCGAAGCCGGGGCGGGTCGCTAGTACTGACTAAAACAACCCCGTTCCTACGCCTGCTTAGCTGAAGAAACTAAAGGTTTGAACAACCAAACAGGCATAACAGCTTATGCCTCCTTTGCACTACGCTAGCATTGTAGTCGAATAGTGAGTATAGTTTCCTCTCAGTTTGATTTTGGAACAGAAGTTCAATGACTGTATTTTTTTAATACTTTTAAATGTATATTTTTTCGCAGATATTAGTTTATGGGCATCATAATTATTATTAAGTTAAAAACGTTTTAAACTTAACATCTTATGTTAAATTCAGGGCTTTTTGGGAATAAATGTGCAGATTACATACGATTTTTATTTGTTATGTAAAATTAGTGTTCCACCACAAACCAGCAAGTTAACCTCAGCCTTCTTTCAAGATTGATCAAGTTATTGTTACATTTTTTATTATCTTAGCCGAGGATGTAATCCAAGTACTTTTCCATCAACTACTACTTAGACATTAACTACTTATTTACCCTAGGTACTTTATGCAACATTGTATTATTATTAGTTCCTACCTCAATAATATAAGAACCATCATAGTGACAATGCAATTTATGATACAAACACGTGTTTTACTAAAAGATACATCACCTGAAGCTACTCTAATATATCAAAAAGTAATTTTCGACTCTATTACAATTAGTTGAAGATGAAAATCTATTAAAAGTTGACCAGTTATTCTGTGCTATAATGACGAGTAAAAGGACTTCTGAGATCTACTTTTAATCTGTAATAGTACAGGTTGACCAAAGCATTATGTTCAATTTTTAAAATAATCAAAGGTTAATAAGATTCAAAATCGGCATGGCATTGTACATTTAATATTGTTGAAGTTCAGGTGTGGCTTTATCTAAAACCGCGTCCGTTGCTGTTTTTGTATGAAATAAACACATACTATAAAATTATCTACAAGTCTTAGAGATGTAGATATTAGTTATCTACTAAAATCAAATTACACTAATCTCCAAATTTCCTAAATTAATATTTTAAATAACCTAAGTAAGCAATGATAACCTTTCGCAAAAACTTGGATCGTTCGCCGCTCTTCCTGGAAATATGCCTGGGACGGATTTAAGAGATTCAGGTCATCGTCGCTAATAATTATATTCTTTGTATATCACTTTATTGATCGTAATATTAATAAAAATTATCTATTCAGTACCTAACAACAACATTTTGCGCGTAGAAAATTATCCTTACATTCCTACTTACCTACTAGTATTCCTACTTACTTATCTACAGACAAATTTTCAGAAGCTTTCCGAACTTAATAAATAGGAAGAACCGGTAGATAAACAATTTTATACAAATACGCAACAAAGCAAATGAGAACACAAAAAATACTTGAAACCAGTCGTTATATAATAACGAGCCATGATTATGACATCAGGTTGGCAACTTCTCAATACGTAGAGATTCGCTTAAAAATTTAACACAAATTGCCTTGAGCATACTAACTTCTAAATTGAGTTGTTACGCTTAATATGGTCAGATACTCTGAAAGTTAGGTGCTATGGCGTCAGACTGGTATGCTAATGCAATTGTTATTTATATTTAAAAGAATAATAATATGTTGATACAACTGACAGTCGGTCAACCAATCGCCGTAAATCATAAATACTTCCCACGATGTTGTAAAGTGAATAATGTTTTAATCGTATAACTTTTTGTAATGGTTATATATAGATAGACTGATGTTTACAGACTCTGTTGGTAGAAATTTTCACGAAAATTCGGGATTAAATATCGAAATATCATTCTTTAGTATAGTTAGACAGTGAGAGTCTGACACTCCCTCTCGCCTCACCCGGGCCATTCGATGATATTCCACCCTTAAAAAATAAAATATGGTTCTAACAATATATAATGTAATATACCTACATTGTGTAGAAGACTAAAGTGATAAAATACAGTAAAGATAATAAAGTACTACAATAAGTAGGTACACATTCGATGGATAAACACAACAACTACGTAACATCAAGCATTCGCAACAACATTAACAGACACGAAACTAGCAAATTCTTCGACTTAAATA